TTAGGTTAGGTTAGATTAAATTTGGATTGTTAGGTTAGGTTGGTTAAATTAGGATAACTTAGATTTGGACACAATATTTTTTTAATATTTGGTTAGGTTAGGTTAGGTTGGATTACAATAAGTTAAGATTTAGTTAGGTTGTGTTAGGTTCTTCTCTTATTTTTCAAGGTTTTCTATTCCATTATATCCAATTTTGGACAAAGAAAAACACTTATTATGGACATTTTATTAGCTAGCCAACATATATAATTTATGTATATACCTTAATTTATATTCGGTAAATAACAGTACTAAATGGATGTAGATATTAACCTAGTTGAAACGACCAACTTTACACAGTTATACCCGGGCAAACACACACACACACACACACATACACACACACACACACACACACACACTGTTAGAGGTCTTAAAACATACACAGATTGCTCAAGACACGTATGTTGGATAAACAAACTTATTTATTCACCCAACAGAATATTTTAATAAGAGTGAAGACTAAAGTGGGTGAAGTAAATTGATTTGATTTTTATAGACGGGTTGTATAGCAGTGTTACAGAGGGTTTATTATATACGGGTGTAATTGGATGGTTTCGTGAGGTGATTAATGGCGTAAATTAGTGTTATGTGATTGATGGTTAGTGGTATGTATGGGACGTGTACGTAGTTCACTAGGAGAGGTGACTAACGAGGGTGCCAGAGTAGTGCCTGTAGGAGTCTTGTGGCACTAGCAGTTGTCTACACTGCCTGGTGGCCTTCACTAACCCCCCTCCACCGACCAACCCTCTACACCAACCTTCTCCACCCTCCTCTCTCCATCTACCACCACCCTCCTCTCTCACCCTCCTCTCTCACCCTCCTCTCTCCACCTACCTACTTAGGCATATGGTAGTCTCAATATAGTAAAAGGTAAATCACATTATCATACTAAAGTGCAGAATGATGACCTGTTTACTATTGCTAGCTCATACCCGCCGTGATAAAGACGAGACCACGACTTTAATGTTCACGAAGAAAGAGACGGAATCAATAAAGGTCCTCATACTATCACCAAGGTAACAGAGTGTGTGTGTTTACGTAAGCATTCGTCAACAGCCACTTCAACTTACTACAGTACTACGTTTGGGCGGCCTCACCCGACACAAAGAAAGCTTTTATGATATATCGTGTAACTTTAAACGATATCAAAATGACGAACAAAACAAATAAATTATTCTAACTTTGAACGTAATTGACTGAAAGATATCCAATATACCGGACTGGACCTTGCTATATTTTGATATCGTCTTTGGCTTTACGTGTCGAAATCTTCTTCCTCTTGCGTGACCATGACTGCTGCAGGTATTGGATTGTGTGGGTTAATGGCACTGCTACATATACTCAGGGCTAGTGGTGCTATGGAATGAATGAGATAGATAGATAGATAGATAATCAGTAATATGTAAGTTCCCACTGAGTCATCATGTACACAGATAGCACAGGTGTACAAACAGTGTAAACGGGCAGTACAAATATATAAACAATATAACCAGCCAAGAACTAAGGATGCCAGAAGACAATAAAAAATGATTTTCACTGGGATCCGGGAACACAATTATTCCTTGTATTACGCTGAAGTTTTCCTCTTTCCCGTGTAACATATATAATATTTGTTAGTTTCTAAGTATAGTCACACCTGCACGAGCACACTCCATTCTCGGAAAACTAAAAAAATACCCCGGGAGAGTTTGGGTGCAGTAGTGTAGTGTGTCCAACGCTCTGTAAAATTGTCGTTAATATTTGAAGATTTTACAATATATTATCAGCCTTGAAATTCCCAGACTGATAATATCATGATTAGTTTATTCTTTATCAATTTCAAGGCGCCATGTCAAGTTGATAGAAGATAAAATAAGGAAAAAACGTTTGAGGTGAATTTGTCAACACTCGTGCATAAACATATTATGTGAGTGTGATGATTTGTTTTAAATTTACTCTGGTTTGTCGTGGGTGTTTAAGGTCTCCTGATGTCTAAGTTACACAGAGAACTACGGGAGTTACACAAGTACAGGTTTATCTTGTGTAGTTCAGCTGGACCCACCTTGTTTACTTTCATTGGTCGAGTTGGCAACTGTGCTGTTGCCGCGATGACGCGTTGGTGAGGGACACGGGAAATTCCAAGCAGATGAACAGTTGTTGGCTTCATTCAGTTACTGGACCTCAGTGTGCTATATAGCACCAGAGGTAGTGACACACGTAGCTCTGTTCGGTTAGCTATACGCTTAGAAAAACTACACTTAGACTGTTAAGTAAGTGGCAAAAGAGTGCGGCTGGCAGAGCTGTATTCGACTCAACTCGAGGTAAGTGCACTTGTTATTACAGGAATTCCCCAAATGATTTCCTAATTAGTGAAAGGATATATTTGTAGACAGATACTCTGCTTAACACTAGATGTTGAAAAAGTTATACTACCCAGTGACAATCATTCGTTAGGGCACTAGAGTGCAGTTGTCATACCGTGCAAGTTTATCTGCCACACTGAGTGATGCGAGACACACCTGTAAGTATACCAACATACTGTACGCATGTGGCAGACTCTGGTGGCTATGACGTGTGTTTCAGCTGTTATTACTTAATCCCAACTTATATCTAGCTTCAATATATATGTTTGTTACCTGATTCACACCTGACACGTAAGTATTAGTATAAGTAGTTCATACGTCTTTTATTTAAATTAATCCAGCGGTAGTGTGTATAGCTTGCTGGATTAGTGTCACAGCTATATATGTTTATTGTGTTGATAAGCTGTCTATCCCGTGTTATCCTTGGTGGGATCGACTTAAATCACTGTACACCTGCAATATGCACACTGTATAATTATCTACACAAGTCTGGTCTTGAGTGAGCTCACACTTGGCGCCGCCACAACACACTCTGGCAGATTGTTCCAACAGTCCACAATAATCACTCTGAAAAAGTTTGCCCTGACAATTTTTTGAACCTGTAGCTTCTTCAACCTTAAAACTGTGACCTCTATTGGGGCCGTCTAGGTATCTGGGCGACCTTAAGTCTTGTAAGACCCACTCGCTTAGTCGCTTGATTGCTTATAATTACACTATTTACACGTTGAACTAATTTGGACCTAAAAGACGATTTCATTATCTATTTATCTATATCTTCTATCACGCCCACTCACAGTCGAGTTGGACAGTATGACTCCGCTGTTTTGGTTGCTCGAGGTTCGTACAGTAAATAATACTCAGAACTGAGGATATAATGATGTATTGCACAGTGTCTAAAACAAAAATAACATGGATCATATGAGATTCTACCTTGACTAAATATGTTCACATTATACGAGTTAATAAGCAGAATATTTACTAGAGTGGTGGACGAGTGGAACAAGCTTAGCAACTTTGTAGTAAGTGCTGGAACGCTGGAAAGTTTCAAAGGGAGGCTGGATAGATTCATGGATGATAGAGAGTGGTAGTAACTCTCGACAGGAACTGCCATGCACAGGCCAACCTGCCTATTGCAGACTCCTTATGTTCTTATGTAGAGTTTCCATAAAATGATATGGTGTTGGTGTTATGTTAACAGACGCAGGTTATGGTATAGTTTACCCTGAGTTTGTTATCGTTTTCTCTCGTTTCGTACGATAAGCGGGTCTTGATAGATGGTCTTTGTTAACTCTGGCCTTAAAAATACAGATAAAATGTTGGCGGTACAGCGGAAATGAGCTTATCTCCCACCAGTAACCAATATGTCAAGAGAGGAGTGTTATCCAGTGTGACCCTCGCCACCAAACATCACAGGATTCCCGGACTTTTGTTTCCTTCTGTACAAACATTGGAAAGACCAACCGCCCGAACGGCTAGTGAACTGATAAGTGGCTAAATGATAAAAAAACCAAGAAAAAAATTGACTCGTATATCGTGTCGTGGTTATCAATCAGTCATGACTCATAACCTTGTGATTATATTCGACCACACGACCTTATTATACACATTCAACAGGATCTACACACACACACCAGAGGAGAATGACAAGACTAATCCCGGGCATTAGGAACCTTGAGTATAGAGACAGGTTAAAGCATCTTAATTTGCACTCCCTTGAGAGACGTAGAGCGAGGGGCGACCTGATAGAGGTGTATAAGTGGAAGGCAGGGCTAAACAAAGGGGACATTACAAAGGTACTCAAATTATCCAACCAGCAGCGAACTCGTAACAATGGTTTTAAATTAGACAAATGTAGATTTAGGCGTGAAATAGGTAAACACTGGTTTGGAAACAGAGTAGTGGATGAATAAAACAAGTTACCAAATATCATCATTAACTCGAATAGGCTGAATTGCTTCAAACATAGGTTGGATGCTCATATGAGCAATAGGGGTTGGGTGTAAACGGGACTGCCCAGTATGGGCCAATAGGCGCGCTGCAGTTTCCTCCATTCTTATGTTCAATTAGTTCTAAGTGCAATTGATATCTCCTCAATATGTTAGAGATCTTATGACCCAATAGTGTACAGGGGGGGGGGGGGCACTGTGGTTGGCGCTGTTTAGCCCAGAGCGCCACCAGCGAATTCTGGGATAGGACACTAGACAGACACTAGACATTGCACCTAATTAGTTAAACCCCTTAAATTTCAATTCTGAGAAAAAAGTATATTTTGGTAAAAATTTTTGTAAGGTGTATGACCTACATTTTCGGTGGTTTTTGGCCAAAAAATAGATTTTGCTGAAAATCACAGTATGGGTACTCATGAGCTTGCTCTTTATGAATATGTGGTCCACGATTCGATTGTGGAGTAATTAGTGGGGTACCAAGTGACAGCACTAGGATCCCGCTTCCTCTATCAAGGAATAAACAATTGAAATTGAATGGACATTGCACCCAATCTAGCCAAATCAAACTGACTCATCTATATGTCACAGCTACTACCCCAAACTATAATCTAATCGAAGTCATTCTGTGATTCTTTTATCCGCGACAGAGTCTCCATTGTCTCGCAAGATGGAGATGAGAGAGGCAGTGTTACCAAGACCTGTGTGAGAGGAGGCAATAGTTTAGACATTCAGGTTGACCCAGAAGACATGAGCAACTCCTCCCTCGCCATGGCTGACAATACAAATGAATTATTGGTGAGTAAAAAATGTTGTTTTCTGTAGGGCCTTTAAAGGAGGTCGGCCCAGCCGGCCTCTAACCAATTATCACTAAACTGGTTAGACCTGGATAGCTGTGTGCAGGTGTGGTCCTGCCCAGGTGTCTTGGTTAGGTGAGGTTGTAGGTCACCCGGCTAACTCACGTCATTAGCGGGCAAGGTCAAGTCCCTAGGGTCGACCTGAGGTGTGTCAACCCGGAATGTGGTGGTACCACTAGGTCTGCAGTGTACTTGCTGTTATATGTGACATAATTCTGGGCGATAAAATCTATCCGCTTGTTTTGGTTCCTCGTTTTCCTCTCTACTGTATTGATATTAATCTTTTCCGCCTTGAGATATACCATAACATCCGTCATAATAATTTTTACTTTCAACTACTGTACGAGCGCTGGACCCCAACCTCACCAACACGTATACATAAATTACGCTTCTCAGAACTGCTACGTTAAGTTTAACCACGAATAAGAACAAACGGTATTGTATCATGTTTTGTCCAAATTTACAAACACACACACACACACACACACTATAGTTCGACATTTCCTTAATAAAAATCTTCTGTTGATAGTATCTAATGTATAATGTATTTTGTTTACAAGTCTCCCTTATTCTCTCGTCCACTAAACGCTCCAGTGCTTTCGTAACACGTCCCACCCCATTTCCTTATTGTCCACAGTTCTTGGTGTTATTATTCCACTTGTATCTTGCTACTGTACGATTTTTCTTCCATTTTTACTGTATTTATCCATCTCTGAATGCCTTCCTTAACATATCCACCAGGTCTACTCCATCCTTCAATGCTGCCTCCATTATCTCCAAGTCCAGAAACATTTAGATGATGCTTACGTTGGAACGAGTCATCACTAAAAGATAAACAGGTCATAGGTCAATATGTTTACTGACAGTGAGGTGGTGACATTTTAGTTTGACGTTGCGTTGAATTTCTCGGAGAACAAGCCTTTATGTACCACAATGACTAGAGTGGTTATAGCGTCAACGCCTCACTCAAGCACCGTAACAGGAGCTCGACCGGAAGGGAGCGAAACGTTTACATCTTTCTATTGTGTAAGTCACATCCGCTTGTTGGCACTCGCAGGGACTTTTAAATTTGTTTATGCTTTCTTTCTGTGATTGTCCGGAGATCAGTAATACTCACACACCTTTATAAATGCAAGGTGGGTGTTATGGAAGAGCATAGACATGACATCAACGCTATGTTATAAAATTAATGAAAAATATAATTATGCTGGCGGGAAGTTAGTGCTTGGCGTTTTATTAACAACTAAACAAAACAAACATACGCTCGTAGACGAATGAAGTTGACATTCCCAATTTAATTATTTAATACATAAATCACTTCGACGTGGGTTTTTTTATTCGTCTTCTTCATCAGCCATCATGAAGATATTTATCAGCTTTGAACATAGGAAATGACCTTTTCGACATTTTATCTTGACTCCCCCCTCCCCCTCCCGTACCACTCCTCCTCCGGTCCTCCTCATCCCTCTCATGAGAGATAAACTTATTGAGAGGACGATTGCTGTTGCCACGGTTAAATTAAGTCAGTTTAGGTCAGGTCAGGTCCTAACCAAACGCCCGTGTGTGTGTGTGTGTGTGTTGACTGAACCCCTGGTGTGTATGTTAAACAGATACAGTGTGTGAGGGCGGGTGACGACGTGAGGTTGAAGGCTTTATTGGACGCTGGGGTGGACGTAAAGGGGGTCACACTGCCAGAGGACGACCCAGAAACTGCTGGCTACACGCTGCTAGGTCTGGCGGCCATGTGTGGGCACCATCACCTTATCGTCCCTCTATTAACTGCCGGCGTGCTTGTTAATGACCCTGGTGGCAGTACCCGCAGCCCACTACACCTCGCTACGCTATACGGACACGAAAATTGTGCAGAAGCCTTACTGGAGGCCTCAGCTGATATAGAAGCCGCTAGTGAAAAAGACTGCGGTAAGACAAAGTTGTTATATTGTTGAGCTGTATCCAAGTTAATTTAAGTTAATTAGTTGTAGCATAAATGGTTGTTACTTGTGTTAATTAGTCGTATAATGAGTGAGTGTGTTTTGGGTTAACACCAGGTGTTCCATACACAGGTGAGAGGCCGCTACACTTTGCCTGCCGGACAGATAATTTAGCCTTGATTCGGTTACTCCTGGCCCGAGGTGCTGATATCCACTCCACTGACGAGGAAGGAGGTGAGTGATCACTACTACTACTACTACTACTACTTTTTTTTTTAACGTGGCCTCCAGCCTCCCCCAATAGCCACACCTTCGCCACCATTTAATTACCTTAATATTAAATATCCTAATACATATGTAGCTATCCTATCTGTGTTAAATTAGTTGAGCCGCAGATCTATGTGGCATTCAGTGACAGTAGCCTCATAGTTGATATCTGCAGCAGTTGTCGGAATTGGGGCAGAAGCTCTCGTTCCCCTGAGGCAGAGCAAAGCCGACCGAAGGAGAGAGAAAGACAGTCGACATCTCATCCAGGCTGTAACGAAACTTCTGGGCTGCTGCTTCTGTTCGGAGATCACCTCCGCGAGTCTGGCGTAGAAACATCTTGCACTTCGTCCCATCCCACCAGAGGTTGTGAACACTAGTGGAGTGAAGCTGCCTTGATCAATGTTTTGGATTCTCTCCCCATACGCCCTTATCTTGTCGTTCTCGTTCCTCCTATGTGCAGCATCGAGAGCTAGGTTACGGTGACATGCGGCCATGGGATCGAAAATCCCGATGTCGAAGAAAGCTCGCTGTCCCCGCGTCCAGAATCCTCGAGCACTGACGTCAACACGGGCTTCGTTAGATGTGTTTGAAGTCCAATGTTGAAAGATCTCACCATCCAATGGAAGGAGGGTCAGTTCTACCATGACATCCCGGCAGATTTCCTTCAACATATTTGCTGTAAGGTCCCTTACTTCCTCATGCATATGAAATCCCCTTTCTTGCAGACCATGGCGTGATCGCCGTCATTGGAAGAGCCACACACGCATTGGGAGGGCAAACCTTCTACTGGCCGACCGTACCTCAGAGCAATGGCATCTGTAAATTCTTGTTTGTTAAGACTGAAACCATTTGCCCTTATCGGTAACGTAGTTAACCAGTTCGAGGCGCCCACCTCCTGCGCTATAGCTACTTTTTTTCAAATTTTCTGGAACCTGCAGCAACAGATGCTGCAACTTATCATTTTGGCAGTACTGTCGATCTGTCGTAATGGACCTACGAATCTCGTTTACTTCACTGGTATCGACTTCCCCTGTTGTGTTCTGGGCTATTATGTGGTCCGTGAGGGCTGCCGTGAGCTTAAGTGAATTTTGATGTTCGGTGGCTGCAATCTCCTCTGGATTGGTTAGTCCCATCCCTCCCAGTCTTGGTGGAAGTGCAAGAAGTGCTCTTTCTGCTGGGGTTAAATGAGTGTTTCACTAATTTGGGAATGAACTTGACACTGATAGCTTCCTCCAGAGGGTGGAAGAGGGGTCCTATATCAGGGATAGTACGCATCAGGTAGTTCCAACGATGCTTGACCCCATGGGTGAATGCAGCAAAAGCCGCATGTGGCTCTGTGTTAGCAATCTCAGACAGAGCTTGGATTTCACTAACCCACTCATTCATCTTTTCCGCTACGTACTCGGTCTTGAAGTCCGTAGTGCCAATTACTGCGCCTAGATGTCTTTGGCCGTCCTTAGTTATTTTGACCTCACTTCCGCCAAAAACCTCCTTTGCCCGTTCATAATGTTCTGGCTTCACGATGAGGAAAGACCTGCTGGCGTTTGGGTGGTACCCTATTTGTAGACCTCGCGATGTTACCAAGTCCCACCACTTTTTGATGTCCTCCACTTTTCCTGCTCCTGTAAGGTCATCAGCATACGCCACTTGTTTGACCCCAGTTGTTTCAAATTTTATTTCTTGTTGGAGCACTGATAGGCCTATTGCATACATTGCCATTGCAACAGGGTCCCCCTGTGTTGTTCCCTCGGTTGACTGTAAGATGGTATCACCTCTTAGGGCCTTGTTGTTTACTATATAGAGGTCTGATGGATTCCTATAGGAGTTTTCAACGTACATTGCAAAGCTTAGACACTTGATCTTGATGTTGTGCAGTGCGGCCTTGCGGTTAAGTATGTTGAATGCATTTGAAGCGTCGAACAGGAGAACGGCCTCACAATCACGCTGCTCAAATATCGTTCTCATGGCGTGAATGGCAGCTTCCCCTCCAGCTTGTTGGCCAGCACAAACTTGCAGGTTCCCTGCTGCTGCCCTGACATTGTCCTTTACCACCTCCATTATGCATTTTCCGATGATTCGCCTCAGCACTTCCCCCACTCCTATTGGCCTACATCCTGGATTCTTATCCAGGGGAATGAGGCGGCAGACCGTCAGAGCATGAAGGTGACGGCAGCATGAGGATGCCAGCTTTCTTGCAAGGACGGCAATGGCCGTGCAGAGATCACTTGCTGCGGGGCCAAACTTGTTAGTACTGAGGATGACTCTCCATCCGTTTGCATCCAGACCTGAAGGGCCGGCACCTCCCTGAGTAACTACTACTAGTCAGTGTGAGACATGCACCATTATATACAGATACAGTAGAGTAGAACAACCCGAGCAGTTATAAACATCAACAAGAAGTTGCACCATAAAGCACCACAAGTCGTCATCCTTGTTAGGGTGTCCAGGATATAGTTCATTATGTTATTATGGTGTGTGTGTGTGTATGTGTGTGTGTGTGTGTGTGTGTGTGTGTGTGTGTGTGTGTGTGTGTGTGTGTGTGTGTGTGTGTGTGTGTGTATGTGTGTGTGTGTGTGTGTGTGTGTGTGTGTGTGTGTGTGTGTATATTGTGTGTGTTGTTTTGTTTTGCTTAGTGCATCACCATTCTCATCAACCCCATCACCACCACCTTCATCATCATCATCATATCTTTATTCACAGGCTTTGGGGCACTACACTTCGCGGCTTACTATGACCAGCCAGAGATAGCCAAGTTACTGATCGATAAAGGGGTTGACATCGAAGCCTCATCCTTGGAGAAATGGCGACCCATCCACCGTGCTGCTTTACGCGACAACACTCGTGTCATCGAGGTCCTACTTGATGCTGGAGCGGACATCAACGCCCCAGGTTCCTTCGGTGAGTTGTGGATCCTGTTTATTATTATTATTTTTTTAAATCTCCACTTAATATCTTAAGAGTGGGTGAGGATTGCCTTTGGTGATAATTGGTAGGTATTCAGGTAACAAATTATCATTATCATCACTCACCCACAGGTAACTAATAATCATCACTCACCCACAGGTAGCTAATTATCATCACTCACCCACAGGTAACTAATTATCATCACTCACCCACAGGTAACAGAGCCGTACACTTCGCAGCTACCCGAGGCCAAATAGCAACATTGAAAATCTTGGCGGAGCGAAACTGTGACCTCTGCGGTCTGGAGAATTTGGGCGGCAACGCGGTCATGAGTGCGGCGAGTGGTGGTCGCCTCCAGACAGTCCAGTGGTTGGTGCAGCAGAACGTACCGCACTTGCATAGGAACAACGCCAACCGCACTCCTGAAGCCGTAGCCAGAATGTACGGTTATCATCACGTCGCCTGGTGGCTACATAAGCTAGATGGGGATGACACGTACACTGAACACACAGACATTGTAAGTTAAACCTTGAGGTCTTCCTCCCTTACCATCAAGGGGGGTGGGTGGGGTGGGGGTTTACCTGTACCTGTATACACCCAATTAGATGTTTGTTTCCTTGTTTATATTGGGTTGTTTATTTTTTTATTATGCACATCCGTATCTTAAGAATAATATAAAGATGATCTTGTGTGTGTGTGTGTGTGTGTGTGTGTGTGTGTGTGTGTGTGTGTGTGTGTGTGTGTGTGTGTGTGTGTGTGTGTGTGTGTGTGTGTGTGTGTATTTAAGCTAATTACAACCTAACGCAGAACCTCACAATATCCAGGCAGTGTGTCTTGAGGAGTATGAACGTATAGGTAACATCACACTGAGGTGGGCCAAGGTGGGTCTCTTCTCTAGCATAAGACTGAACCTTCCTGCCAGACCTTACCGCGTCCATTACCAAGATGAGAACGGCTGGACCCCCCTTCATCACGCCTCTTACAATAACATGGTGAGTCTTTCTCCTAACCTAATCTAACCCAACCTACCCAGTCGAACCTAACCTAACCCAACCTACCCAGTCCAACCTAACCTAACCTAACCTACCCAGTCCAACCTAACCTAACCCAACCTACCCAGTCCAACCCAGTCCAACCTAACCTATCATTCATTATCTAACTCTCGCATTCCTTCTCCCTAAAAATAAAATAAATAGAATGACTTAGAATCAGTAAATGTCTGAACTTTAGATAATGATGTGTTTTTGTTTGTCAAGTCTTGGTTATAAATGTCAAGGAATTATTATTATTGTTTCGTGTTTCTGTGCTTGTCAAGTTGAGGACATGAGTGTGTGTGTGCGTGTGTGCGTGTGTGTGTGTGTGTGTGTGGCCTTCCATTATCGTCTTTCACCCTCCACTTACCATTATCTACATTTGTCTTAGGTTTAATCTCTCTCTCTCTCTCTCCCCTTCTCTTTCTTAAGCTTTTGGTTCGATATATAGAGAGATAGATAGCTAGATAATACAGTAGACAGATAAGGTTTAAGATTTTAAGAAGGAGAGAGAGAGAGATTTCATTAAGTAACCCTCCTACTATCTCCCACAGAAAGAGGCAGTACTGGCATTGTTGTGGGTGGGTGCCTATCCTCTGTCCTTGACCATGGCAAAAGAGACCCCACGTGACCTGGCACTCTCTCAGGGTCACCCACAGATCGCCAAGTTACTAGAGGTCACCATCCCGGAGCTGGTGAGTAACTAGGTCAGGCTCCTCACCAGGATGACCTGCTCGTTCTTAGCCTTTATGTGTCGGGGATTTCTATGAATGCCCTTCCTGATTGACTGACTGACTCACCCACCCTCACACACACCAAGATTATTAGTTAACTTTTTTTCTCTCCTTAATCTACCTTCTGGTTAGGTTAACACAGCAAGCTGGTGGTTATATGGTTATGCTGCCAGTACTGGTGAAGTTGCATAAGAAAAATTAGAAGGTAGATAACACGCACACATAAGGACCTCATCAATGACCATGTTTTTGTGTTGACAGTCGAGGAAGCAGCGGGTTTACCTGTACGGCCGCCTCCTACACAAGATCAGCTGCGCGGAGTTACAGACGCTACACGAGGCGGGCGAGTTGGTGGAACAGGGTCGCCGCGTCACCCTGGTCAAGGAAGTAGGGGAACTTCTCCAATCTGGAGCGCCCCTGGAGCCTGTAGGAGGACACACCGTTCATGCCTTACACTTGGCCATCACTACTAACTGCACGGACTTGCTGCCTCTGCTGTTGAGTGTCAGGGTGCCCCTCACTGCCACCACAGGAGGCATGAACGTTATCCAGTTGGCTTGGATCTCTCCTGATGTCACAACACAGATTGGCGTCATCGTCACCAGGGTAAGTTGAGCTCGCATCTTCCGCTCCCACAGTTACCCCACCACCACACCCAGCCCACAATACCCCCACCACCACACCCAGCCCACAGTACCCCCCACACACCACACCCAGCCCACAGTACACCCAGCAGCAACATATCACCCGGACATACAACATCTTCCTCAAAGTGTTAAATAAGGATAAGGATTTCTCTCCCTCCACCTCATCCATTACACCTGTTTTATATTGGTGTTGTCTCGTCACCTCCTCCACCTCATCCATTACACCTGTTGTATATTGGTGTTGTCTCGTCACCTCCTCCACCTCATCCATTACACCTGTTGTATATTGGTGTTGTCTCGTCACCTCCTCCACCTCATCCATTACACCTGTTGTATATTGGTGTTGTCTCGTCACCTCCTCCACCTCATCCATTACACCTGTTGTATATTGGTGTTGTCTCGTCACCTCTCGACAGGCTTTCATACAGAAAATGCAGCAAGAACTAACTCTGGTGGGGGAGGAGTACCAGGACCTGAGGGCGGGGATGGAACAAATGGTGGAACAACTACAGGACGAGGAACCTTGGCGAGCAGCTTGGCAGGGCACTGAGAAGACCACTGAAGTTCTCACCAACCTCCTCTCCCAGGCTTGCCATCACGGTGCCTCCCTCACTGCCTCCTTCATCCAGGTGAGTTTTTTTTTTATCTGCCTCACACCTATGTAGTTATTGAACGAGAGAGAGAGAGAGAGAAAAAAAAATACATAAATACTATGATTAGACAAAAATACCTTCATTTCAACTAATGTATATTACCAAAACTTCCTCCTTGTAGTAATTTTATCATTTATTTGTACGTCTGGCAGTGGGAAGGAGGATCTGCCACATCCCAGGCTGGCATTGGTCGTACTGCACTCCACGTTGCCCTGGATGCTGGCCACTTAACCACCGCAGTTTGTCTTGTTCGGAACCTGGGCGGGAACCTGTTCTTGGGTGATAGTGAAGGTCGCCTGCCCCTACACATGTGTCCTCAGTCCACCAGGGTGTTACTACTGGAGGTGAGATGATCGTCATGGGCCTGTCACACCTGGTGATACAACCTGACCTTACTGAGCCAGATGCCACACCTGAAGATTAGCCACTCCAGCATATATCACCAACCTAATGCAAACCAAATGTGACCTAACCTAAGTTTACCCAAATTAATCTAACTTAACCTTACATAACTGTCCAGGTAGCATTAGAGTGATTAATCTTCTGGTGAAATAAGCTGAGGTGTCTAATGTTCAGGTGATCCCTTATCAGTTGCTAATTTGATACAGCACATCACCCTTTTGTGGGTATTGTGTCGAATATAATGAAACAGTATTAATTTTCCTTACCAGTGCAGTATTGTGAAGCAACAAACTCATAGGTGTCGTCAAAATTCCATGGGCGCTATTCTCATCTACTTGACCTCAGAAATATTTTGATGGTCTGGTTAATAGAGGTCACGGGAGGTCAATGGTACCTAAAGGGATAGAAGAGGTCAGAGTTCAAGTTTGTTATGTCTTTAACAGTAGATGTAGTCCTAATAACCCATCCTGATTGACGGTTCCTCACCTTCTCCCGCCAGGATGCTGTGAGCCACGATTACCGCGCTCTGGACTTCGTCTTGGGGAAAGCTCGCACCACCGTAGAGAAGAAGAATACAGCTCTGATCATGTTGCTTCTGGCTACCCTATATACAGAAGCCAACTTGTCCTCTGAGGAAGCCATTTCCCAAAAGGTCAAGTTGTCCTCCGGTGCGCCACAAGAGAGAAGAGATCCTTGCCCATCAGAGAGCTGGAAGGAAGTCTTTCTCCAGCTGGCTGCGATCCTACACCAGGTTGAGGAGAGTGAGTTCCTTGACAATGGATGGCTGAAGTACCTGTCGTCGTGTATAACTGAGTCAAGCGGCGAACAAGATGGAGTTGCCGAGGGCGAGAGCGAAGGTGCAGTAGGTGATGAGGGCCACACATTACCTGATATTGAGGAGGAACTTTTCTTCAGTCTCATTGAAGATCTCAATACGAGAGGCAAAGTAGAATCCAAGAACCGCAAACGAGATGCTCAGGAGGAGGACCTTTTGAACACAACACTGCACAGAACACTCCGGCTGTGTTGCGAGTCTGGCCTTCCACTCCTCACCCACCTGGTGCTGACAGTCGGCGGTGTGAATGTGGATGAAGTCGTGGATGCTGTGAGTGGGTCCACCTCCTTACACATTGTCGCTTCTCACGGTCGTCTCGGTCTGCTCGATTACTTGCTGAGTCGCAGGGCGTCCACCTCCGTCGTGAATGGGGCGGGTCACACCCCGGCTCACCTGGCCTACATGTTCGGTCACACTGCTGTTGGGGATCGCCTGTGTGAGGGGCTGGAGGAAGCACGTGATAGAGCCGGAAAATGTCCCAAGGATTTATTGGCAGGATTTAAGAAGTATATGGAGATTTACATCCTGGATAAGAAGATTAGAGTCAAGGCTCATGAGTTAAATGATCCCCTCGCCCTCACACGAGCGCACCTGGAACAGTTCAAGTGGAAATGGCGAGCCAACTTCAAGAAAGCTGTAAAAAAACTTCATGTAGACTTCACAAGAGGCGAGGCGAAAGTGGTTCAAGAAACATTAGCAGTAGAACTACGGAGATTACTTCAAGACTTGGCCAAGCTGAACCCTCTCTTAGATGGTGACCTGCAGATCTTGGGCAGCAGCGCAGACAACCTTCGCCTCTATGCACCTGATGAATTTGACTGTAATGTGGTGCTGAAGACTGTCACGGGTTTTCCAGGAGGCGGCCTGAACGTTGAGTTGAAACCCCTTGACAAGAAGCTGGCCAGTATGAAGGGTTACACCACTTACTTCAGTGTAACACCAGTGGATGATGGCGACCAGAAAAAATTTGATGATCTGAAGGAATTTGTTGAAGGTCCCAACTTCGTGAACACATTCTCCGAAGCTCTCTTCCAGTGCCTACAGAACTTCAAGCTGTCAGATCCTCGTCTGAACTTCGTGCCTCCAGGAGCAAGAAAGACACAAGTTGGTACTAATGTTTCTTTTGTGTGGGAGGGCACTGAGTACCCCATGTTGCTCATCGATGTGGACATGGTTCCTATTTTGAAGATCCCTTGGCCGAAAGACCAAGATAGACCACCTCTCACCCCAGCCGACGTGGACACCCTGTACCTCAGCAACACAGGAGACGGTGATTGGCGATTTTCATTCTCTGCCATAGAAAACAAGATCTTCAGCGCCCTCACCGACGACCAGCGTCTGGTCTTCCTCTCGTGTAAACTAATGATTGTGTCCCTGAAGGTGGAGAGCTGGGCACCCCGTGACAGGAAGGAGCTCTTCACCTACTGGTATGGCCGCAGGTTCAAGCTTCCCGCTCCCGCTGGTTTCATCCTCAAGAACACCTTCATGATGGAACTGGAGGAAGTGAAGGATGCCGCCCTGTGGGATCCATCACACCTTCACGAGAGGATGCGCTCCATCTTTTGCAGGATGTGTAAGACGGACACCAACGAGAAGACGGGTGAAAATAGGTACTTCCACGGTAAGGTCAGGGCGTACTTCGGAGGTAATGCCGAGAAGCCATCCGTCGGTCTAGGCGCCCCCGAGATCCTTCGAGCACTGGAGCTCTGGGAGTCCAAATCAGAGGGGAAGATGAACACGGAGCCAAGTGCCCCAGAGATCCAGTTAGCTACAAAATGAACATAAATTACAGTACCATAAATTAGCACATTATTCAGCACTCGAACTCTTTATACCACAAATGAACAAGTTAAAGTATTGTACAAATAATGGACATAGTAAGACACAGATAAGTTACTATTGCACAAATTGTACAGTAGTTTTAGCTGTATTAAAGAACTTAGTATTAATTGCTACAGACATACAGAATTCACATTGAATCAAGCGTAAACAAGAGATTTTTAGGTGACGTAACCTTGTTAACCACGTCTGAGGATGATTTAACCCTTTGAGGATGATGACTTAACCCTTCGAGGATGATGACTTAACCTTTTGAGGATGATGATTTAACCCTTTGAGGATGAGGACTTATTTTAAGATGATTTAAGCTTGCAAGTATAACGATTTAATTTTGGAAGGATGATTGTAGTCTTTGAAGATATAAACAGTTCAGTACCTAAATATTAATAAGTTTTAAAATTATATTATTCTGTTTACATAATCCAACGATTGTTTGCTCATGTACCATAAGTTTTTAACAGAATGGGGTTGGTATTGTACTCCGGAATTAATAAATTTTAGATAACACAAATAAAGTAATTTTGAACTTTCCTTTGTATCACTGTACTGTTAAATTAAGGTCAAATTGGTATTAGGTTAGTGTTACGTTAAATTAGGTAAGCGTTCGGTTTGGGTATGTTAGGCTAAGTTAGGTTTGGTTTAACATTATGGTGGTTTATCTGGAGGTGAAATAAATCAAGGGGGGATAATCTTCAGGTGATTCCACGTTGAAAAGATATTTACATTTTCCAACAAACTCCTAAAGACGTGACTGGCGCATCAGATCACCATTCTTGTTAAGTTTGTTATGGTAGAGTAAACATTGGCGTTATCCAGGGTTTGGGGAAAAATTACTTACAGTATACTATTGATTATATTATTCACTGTAAAATACATATCCTGTAATATTTAATCAGGTATTTTTTTCAACAGGTTTGTTTATTTTATATAATTGCTCGTAGTTGATTGTTCATTTGTTTCTCACTTACTCAATGGCGCATGCGTGGTCTCGAGAGGTATTGCACTCGTACTCCACCTCTTAACAGTTGATCGTGGGAGATTCTGGTGAGGTAGTGCTATATATATTTTTTTTTGTTTTCTACATTGCAGTGACAGTTTACAGTAATTGAATAAGGTGTAGAAGCTGTATATAGTTTCGTTCGTTGTGAGTTATGACTAGGCTCGACTTGAGGCTGTGGGTGTCAGGTGAGAGTTGGTTCTTTCATTTCTCGTGGCAGTAAGAGTGGTGTTTATTACCCACTGTGGCATATATTTCTTTCCCCCAGAGCCTTTGTTCTCATCTAGACTTTGTTGCTGGAGGGTAAACAAACCATGTCACCGTAGTTATATGTAACGGAAGGGGGAAGGGGGCGATACGAAACTACATTACATTTTCACATTATTATTTTATTATTAACAGTGAATATACAACATACAAAGATGAATAATATTATTTGTCACATATCTTTAAAATCTAGTCGGCTGATGAAAATTCCATGAGATTATATAATTTGAGCCAAGGAAGAACAAATTCATGATCATATAGAGTGCCTTGATGTTTGTGTTTACAGAGTTCCTTGGATAAATGTTATGATGTATAAATGTTAATATTTAGTAAATATCTACATGTGTTATGTATGTATGTATGTCCGTGTTCAGCATCTCAATAACAACTTTAGCCCTGATGGATGAATTTCCTATAAATGGCCACAGTCCTGGAGGTGAGGATAGCTTTCTTGTACTTGATCATGGCGGCATCTTTCATGGTCTCTTGGTCAAGTACTAAGCTCCCGGTGGCATGTCTACCCAGGCGAAGGTTTCCACACGTGCGGTAGTGGTGCAGGATGGACACACTCCTGTGGGATGCCTGGTTCTTGGAGGTCTTCTTCAGGAAATGATGGATCATGTGGTGGCCGACGGAAATAACAGCCTCGGGGATCACTATCATTTTAGAGCGTGATTTTGATGGCCACAGACGCGCTTCCCTCTGCTTGAACTGAAAAATTTGGAACAATTCTTCGTGTTCTTCGGCGTTTTCCTTGAAGTCTGAGCAGTAGAAGACATTTGGGACGAGGGCAGCGTCACCTACCTCCCCTTGTTTAGGTGTGAGGATGTTGTGGTAGAGCTCGCCGAGGTCTGCAGCTGGAGTCCTCGGCACAATGAACTCGTCCAGGTCAACCATAGCCAGGTGAGTGTGGCGGCCAGAGCTCCGGTACACACAGTCAGTGAGGGCTGTGAGGGACCCTAGATCCCATAAGTCCTCATTGTTGTTTACTGGGACGTTCCAGGGTAGGATGTGTATTGTAACGTCTTTCGAGTTGAATAATCTTAACAGTTCCTTCACCTTAATATTAATAGCCTGATCATAGAAGTAAAAATGCGACACTCTAAGGACGGTGGTGTAGTAAGCAATGAACTGTGTGATACCTCGGAGGTCAATGTAGGGACCAAATAGTTGACGGACACACACGGCGCTGGTATTGCTCTTGGTCGATGACACACTTGAAATTTTCTCATAGTTATTTAGGTAGATCAGTTTAGGGTGGCCTTGGAGAGTGTTGTGAGGTGGGAAGGATACACCGTACGGGATGCTTGCTTCGCTCACTGGCTCAACACTCAAGCTTCCATTTAATGAAGTTTCCCCTGATGACCCACCGTATTTTGGTGCTGGTGGATAACACAGGAGGAAAGTTCCCACAAACGTTTTTAATCCCTCTTCATAAATAAAAGCTTTCAACTGCCCCTCTTGAGGCTGCTTTCTCTCTCTGTACCACAAGAAACAAGAACAGTTTAACAGGCCGTCTTTCACTTCACCAGTCCACCTGTAGCCGGGGCCCTCCTTCACCAGTTCCTTCCGGTACCTCAACATTCCCAGTACCCTGACGACCGGACCGTCAACTAGGTCTTTACGGGAGTCCCAGAAGGCGCTGTAGGTGTAGAGGTCGTCGGTGACTCGCATCCACAGCGGCCAACTATTGAGAGACGTTGTTGTGGTTCTCTCAAGCCCCTGTACTTCGTGTTTGTTTCCTTCAGTATCACCAAGACCTTCACCAGCCAGGGCAGATCCTTCACTCACGCTGTTCCTGTATCTCAATGGAGGCTGACTTGGCTGGTGATCCTCTAGTGAGGGGGAGAGTGCTGGAGCATCACTCAGCTGACCCTCACTTGCCTGGCTCCGGCTGTAAGTATGGTGAGTCACGTCTTTTCTCAACGCCCCACGACCACCACCACCCTCCTGGTCATCACCCGGCACAGGGCGTCGCCTTAGCTCCTCCCGGGGGACACCACCATCCTCCCTGATCACGAAGATCCTGAGGAGGAGGAAACAGCAGACGAAGGGCAAGAACCTCCTGACGATACGCCGTCTGTATATCATCACAGAACCTCCTGGGGTATATGGTGATTGTTTGTTGTTATGGGGGCATTGGTCAAGCGTCCTCACCAGCTCCCGGGTGACCTAATGTGTTGGTGACCTTGACCAACCGTGACAGTGACCTGGAAAAGCACATCCTTCCGTTACTAACGAACTATCGTGTATATAACATGATCTACTACAGCCTAACCTAACCTAACCTAGCCTAACCCAACCCAACCATTCCTAACCTAATTTAGCCGGGCTTAACCTTAACCAATCTTTCCCAGCCTTAATATAACAATAACGCTTGACACAGTATCATTAACCCCAGTATACAATACGTTAGCAGTACAGTAATGCGGTAACGAGCGTGTCTCTGACAGTGTTCTGGGTTCAATCCCCAAACCGGGACAGATATAAGAAGTGTGTTAGCCAGGGCGACATAATGGCAGGTTTCCTACTGGACTAACATACTAACACTGGGCAACATAGTTCGAAAAAAGTAACACAGAGCAGACTAATCACCCGAACGGCAGGCTAAGGTGATAAGTAAAATACAACACTCACCTCTGACACGGTGACCAGCTCCGAGGTGTAGACATAGTCAGCAGTGACGATAATTTAACACACTAACTGAAGAATATAACAACCGCTTTCTTTTCTTAAATTCAGGGTGAGTATATTATCCCACAAACATTAAGAGAATAAGAAAATTACATTGAAAAAGATATGAGGAGAAAATAAGTAAAATATGTTTTCTATTAATCACTAGCTAGAGGGTGACTATTGAGGAGCGAGACACGGTGTACCTTTCTCTTCACCGTCCTGAGCCAAACTGAGATGTAGGTAGAGACACGGTGTTCCTTTCTCTTCACCGTCCTGAGCCAAACTGAGATGTACTGTAGGTAGTGATCCTCGGCTGTGTACAGTATGGTGAGAAGAATTTGACTTCCATGATATCAAGTTTCACCGTTAGTCACATGGACGGTCGGTCACGTCTGTTTCTCTTGTCCACGTAAATTTAACAATAAATAACAATATATGTTGGTGATATTTGTAAAGACTGAGATTAAATAATTTATAACTAAACTCAGTTATATGTACACTAACGGTATACATAGCTTGGAAATATACAAGTATTTGTTATAAATTATTACCTTTGAGTTAAATCTCTTTTGTATGTTATAAGCTTGTATCCAGTTTTTCAAGACCGCTGTTAAGATGCACAATATCCTATATGAACCGACCCGCTGGCCACTAACGGTACACATTTTCTCTTCTCTAGGATAGTCAGAGATTTCCCTTATATCCTAAAGTATTTGGATTAAGTAAAGCGGTAAAGTCAAGGCTTATATAGCGATTAAACTCACCTTACCAGACATAACTCCCACCATATCAGAAATTTTATACTTAATGCGCTTCACAATGTAAGGACTTACCACCTGGGGAAAAAAAGGTAACGGTACCCCAGAGGCCAGTGACCGCCTCGCGAATCTTAACAGAAAACGGGAGGGGGAGACTTTGGTAAATATGTACGGCCTCTACTGTACAACCTAGGCAAGTAAGGCAACTACTGCTTGTTTTCACTTTATATATATATATATATATATATATATATATATATATATATATATATATATATATATATATATATATATATATATATATATATATTATGTACAATAGCTTGGTGCTGGGAACAGCATGGAACAGTTAGCTTGTGGGTCGCCATCAGAGGAGGAGGTGTTGCTGGCTGTGGCTGTAGGTAGAGAGAGAGATCACCACGAGGTCAGGTCTTAAATACGGGGGTAGGCGTCAGCTTAGATGCTGACACGAAGGGACATCTGGGGAATTGGCCAGCGACAAAAAATTAATGAATTGTCACACACTGGGTATTAACTTACGCCTTGAAGTAACCACAACAGATACGATTAAAACATCTAGGGTCGACTGTAGTATAAGCTAGGCAAGTTCAGGCGCTCTCGCAGGGTAGCTGAGATGCCGAAGTGCAGGCACCAGCTTGGTGGCCCTCCTTTGAACATTTTTACAGTCCCTAGCATATCTCGGGGACCAGATGGGGTGACAGTACTCCAGATGGGGAAGCACTTCACTCCTGAAGAGTAACGGACCGTAGATATGAACGTGCCTGATTTACCTTCTTCTCACAATCGAGAACTTCAGCTCATTGTCAACATACACACAGGTCCTTCTGTCAACTAGTACATTTTCTTCATCCCGTTGGGACATATGGTACGCCTCCTTACCGTTGGTACGCCCCAGGTGCATCCTCTTACACTTCGTGACATTGAATCTCAGCAGCCATTCCTTCGACCATTCCTGGAGCCCACAGAGGTCCTTCTGCAGCTCTTCACAGTCCGCTTGGTTCTTAATTTCCCGAAATAACTTGGCGTCATCGGCAAACATTTGTATGGAGGAGTGTACAACGTCAGGCATATCATTTATGAAACAAACAAACAACAGCGGGCCCAATACACTACCCTGCGGTACCCCACTTGTTACAGGTACAGATGACGATTTCGTGCCATTAATCACCACACATTGCTTGCATCATCCCAGTGTTCGCTCATCACCAACAAATATATTTTAAGTGATTCTAACCTACAAAACCCTTATAAGTCTCGGAATATAACTCATCACTTTTTTCAGGAGCACTGAAGATCTTCCATCGTTCCCTTGAAACTGACGACACCAACGGGTGTTGGGAACTTGGGGTACGGTGTATATTTTGGCCATTGTTAAGACGTCCATAACGAAACAATTTGTTAATGGATGTATATCCTTACAGGTTGTAGTCAGTACACTGTCAACTTCATGTGCCATTCGTTATAAAGAATATTAAATGTCACTTAGTTGCACTACAAAATTTAAAGGGAACAACTGAGTACTGTGTTAGTCTATATTTAACTGACACCTCATTGGTTGAACAGACGCACACACACGTATGTACGTTGGACCTTTAATAGTATTACAGCGTAACGTGTGTATGTGGCGCAGTTGTCTAGTTCTCTTAGTGTGTCAATTATCTTTGTTATGGCCACATACACGTACAATAAGGGAGATCTCGCACTAAGGATAGAGGTGAGAAAGGAAACTCAGAATAGCATAACTGTGCATGTATTGTATGTACAGTGCAGTGCTAGGGAGTTGCTGTGTGGTGAGGAGCTTGTCGAGAGGTCCTGTCCGTTTGAGAGCATTAAGTAGAATGACCTTCACGGCGAGGCTGGGGGTATTTATATGATTCTGCCGGATCAGGTTCAGAGGTGTGAGGTGAGCGGTGCTGCTGATTGGCTGGGCGAAGATGGGAGAGGAGTTGTAGGGAGAGCAGGTCACTACAATACTCCCCTTCCCCTCAGGGTGCGGCAGGCAAGGTGAACAGGGACGTGAACCACTCGACCGCTATGAGTGACAACTCCGTCGAATGGCACATAATCTGTGGGAGAAGCAGGAGGAAAAGCATCGGGAGACGAAGGGTTGTAGATATGGGAAGGTTGAGCAGCGGGAGGAACAGACGAGGAATGTGGTGCTTCTCTCGCAGCAGGTGTTGGATAGTAGTGTTCGTGGCTTTTCAGTAGAACCAGGCATGGAAACATGGCACCGCTTCCCATGGTTAGAGACGGGTACCCATAAGGACTTTCATTTTGCATTTTTATCCTGGGACACACCCGTTAACTTGGCCTCCTTCAAGCTTGCTACGTCTCACGTGTGTAACCTGTACCTTTCGTAATTAGGTCAAACAAGCCTATCCACCGGCTGGATGGGGTCCGTTCTTCTATTCCTAGCTTGAGAGGTCTATCCTGAATCTCATGGAGTCTCATTAGCTTTTGATCAATTACCATAATGAAAATTGTCTTGATGTAAGAAACTAATTTCGTTATACTCTATGTACAATATTCTGTAACAAAATACAGTATTAGGTTTATAAATGTAACCCCCATTTTTTTTTTTTATCTGTGCCTTTATTTCATATGTATGTGCAGTATGTACCTGGATTTTTTTCAATGTTTCAGCTGATGTTAGAGAATATGTCAGTACAGCAATGTGTATCAATTAATTTTATGTCTGAAATATTTTTGATAGTTTATTGTTATGATTGTATGTATTTTGTAAACCAGTAAATACTGTAAATGTTTTATCAATGCTACCACATATTATAAATCTTTGGAAGGGGCAGGCTGTGTCATGGGCACAGTAGTACTGATAATATATTCACACCCATACTTATTCATATTATGCTCCGTTGTCTATAAAACATACTGGTAAGTGAAATGAGCTAGTTACCCCTAGAGAGATTTGTTTTCTGTAGTGAAAGGTACTGTCCATTTTCTATACATTCTTGTAATTTTTCCCTGCAGCCACCTCCAGTAGTACCAAGTCAACACCATATAAAACCCACATCTCGTTAACTTTTCTCACAACATGATTCGTCGGATGTTGGGAAATGAAAAATAAGGTTTTCTTTTCATTTTCAATTACAACTGAACATACAAATACAGTACATAGATGTATTGCTAAATTACGTATAAATCTTTCGTTAACTCACATTAGAATACTTATTTTTAAGTTAAATAATTGGCTTATATGACTTTAACTACAATAAGGCTCAACTCGAGTGACCGATGAATGAGAATCAAGTTTATTTAGCAATTGTAATGTTTCAAGGTATAAAAATTCAATGAGAGGTACTACTTAGTAGTATTTGATTTAATAAACCAAATACCTGATAGTTCCTGCCGAGTGAAAATTCACCTAATGAGCACATTTTCAGGAGCAAGTGACAATCATTAAGCAAGACCTTACTGTAATAGGGAAATATAATAAATTACACCAATTTATTCATAGCTGCTGTGATATAATAGAATGGCAGTCAACCAAACACTTCCTTCTCATAGTCTTTATAACCTGGTCAGGCACACATGGTACAAAAAGTATCTTAATGATTTTGTGTTAGGCAATACGACACAACAGATATGGAGCCTCTGTAAAGATACTTTTTGGAGTGTGTGTACATAAAATGTTCATTAGGGATCTAATTAATGCTTAAAAGAACACAATTAAAACTATAGAGTGAACAACACTATTTGGAGACATTACCCGGACGGTTCAGTTGTCTGTGTTATTCATCGATTCCATTCAGAAAAGCACACCAAGCTGGCTACCACTGCAAAATTTGGCTATGTAGTATACCAGTATTTTCGAAGATTGGATCAATCCCTTCATGACGTCAGGCAAAAGCACTACCATAGCCTTAACACTTGACCAACAGCTGTTATTTTATGTATTTTATAATATATAGACTGAAACATGGTCCCCCCCCTTCCCTCCCACACATACTACAAGAGGTCTTTGCCCATCATGATGAAGGGCAATTGGATGGGTGTAGATACCCTGACTGTACAAGCAGGGAAGACAATCTTTCACTCAGGTTGGAAACCAAAATCAGAACAGTTGTCTCATGATGTGGAGGCCACTAATATACATAGTTGTTTATTAATTGTATGAAAATTGCAGTGGATACATAAGCTATGCACACATGGACAGACACACACACACACACTCTCTTTCCTCTCACTTGCTCTCACTGCCATAACAAATGCACTCAGGTGTAAAATTAAAATGGTAGCAACAGAAAAAGAGCCTGCATTATTATTTGTATAAGAGGAAGGTTAACACAAATTATAAATCTACCACTTCTTCTTGACTAAAGTTGACACAATATAAAGTGACTATAGTAGTTTGCTGTACTGTACAATGTTAACAATTACAGGATGACCTGGACTAATTCAAATAAACAAACAAGTGCAGTATTTTGCATATTATACTAATACAAATAGTAACAAATTTTTAAATCACTATACTTTCTGATAAGAATAAAAACACAGGACTGTACATAAATTTGTACTCTAGTTAATACAACTACAGTTTATAATATGGAATATAAGTTCAACATAATAAAACAAAGAGAGCACACATTCAGGTTTCTACAGTGAAGAATAAAACTCTTCATAATGTAGCTCCTTAGTACAACATGGGGTTGACTGAAGCATTGTTGAGATGTTTCTAGGAAGGACCACAATGCCTATGTCTATGAGCAGAGAACCTACACGTCACTGACCTTCCTCGTTACCTGCCTGGAGAATCAATTGTCTGAGGTGAGTACAGTACAATATGTCAAGATTGTAAAAAAAAAAAATTGAAATGACACTTCTAAACCATGTAGTACAGATATCACAAGTACAATAAACACACATACGAGTTAAGATAATAGACTGTCAATTAATACACATTACATGTACAGCAAGCGTCAATGTATACAGTTGTAATGGTGTACAAGACTAGTGTAGTTCACCAGTGGATAGGTGTGTCAGTCCTGTTACACACACACACACAAACAGTCTTTGTCTTTTAAGCACAGAATTTTGTTCACTGGAATAACTTAAGGTTGAAATTACATGCTACTTTAGTTTATGTTTGTGCTTCTCGTGCTTGTAATATGACTTCTCTATACAGGCTGAACGCGGCAGAAAGTTACTCTGGTCTTTCTACACCAAGGAACTCGTAATTTTGCTTGAGAGTTACATTCTATAAATTACTGGACGAGTGAGCAAACGTTTTAACTGTAACCATAATAAGGTGTAAACATCTTAGGTTGTTTGCATATACTGCACACAAACTGGATCATTAACTTTCCTTCTTAATTAACAGTGCTTCATATTTATTCACAGATCACCTGATGATTAACCCTCTCCCCAACTTATTTCACCTTAAGATTAACTACCCTAGACCTAAACTAACCTACTCCCCCCCCCAAGTGTATTTGGGTGTTTAACCCCCATGCGGGTAAACCCGCCCAAAATATTATATTAATTAAATGCGACAAGCGGGGATATCCCACGGCCTTACTTTCATGCCATATTATGTATTGAGGTATAGGAGTATTTCCTGAATGCCCTGTTTAGGGCCTAAGACTAACTACTCCCACTCCCTCCCATTCCAGTGACACTTTTGGGATTGTTTAAGCATCAGGTGAAATATGAAATAAGCAGGAGGGTGGGGGGAGGGGGGGAGGGTGGGGCTCACCTTACTCGTGGGATTTCTTGATAACTTTTTCTGGAGGACAATCCAACTCCTGCTTCACGAGGGCCGGGTTGTCAGGTGTTTTGCAGCTTCTGAATATCGTTGTGTTGGCTGTCTGGGAAGCTACTTTGACCCCTAGACACCCATCCTGCACCAGATTTACAGCAGCCTGCAAGAGTGGAAAAATATCTGTAAAATGTCGATGCTACGAGAGAAATATTTCCAAAAGTAAGAGCCTCATGTGAGTACAAAATGTGATCCTTAAATTTCAGGCAAATTTTAATGTTAACTATAGTAAGACCTCTGTTAGATATTGCTGAAGTAATGAGACCAGTGTAATGTAGAGCTGATAATAGGTTAAATATAAAAAGCTTAGCTCTCTATATATATTAATGGTACAGTATGTAAAGGGTAAAAGGAAATTACACATGGAAACTGTAACTGGCATAAAGAAAGTCTATTTATGATCTCATTAAACCTGTTCTGCTAAATTCACTTACCAGAAGGTCACGTTTTGAAAATTTGCGAGAGGGGGAGAGAGTCATCAGCCGCAGGGGTTGTGGAGCCGCCCGAGAGGTTCCGGCAGTAGAGATGCGAATCTGGGTTTTCCCACCAGTAGCCCCAACACCCCTACGAGCCTGAAAGATTAATGCCTTATATTCCAATGCTACTTTAGAGCAGTAAAAACTATATTAGTTTAAACATTGCATTTTTTATTAAACATCTTTACATTCTTCCATTAGAGGTTACTCGTTTCATTTTGCAATTATTTTCTTTACAAATTTAGTTGAATACTCCACAATAAAGTTGAAATTTCTTTGAAATTGTAACTTTACACAGTATACCAGACTGTTGGCAAATTCAAAAGTACTTTTTCATGATCTTACAACCAGAGTGGGTAGTGGTGTAGATGTGTGATGTCTGGCTCCCACTTTCAGGACAGTTGTGGAGGTGCCGGGTGTGCCTTGCCTCACTGGATCACTGCTTCTTTGTGCTAGAGGGTTGTCATCTCCCTGGCCGTGAGTTACACTGCCTGTCACTTGAGCGGTGCCGTCGCAGTTATTTATCTCGTACGTCACGAGTGGGTCTACTGGGTCGCCTTCCTCTTGGGCCGTTATCATCTCGGCGTCGAGTTCCTCTGGCTGCTGGTGTACGTGAGCGTCTATGGGAGAAGGAATTTCAAGGGAGGTCTGGAAGTGTGACTCTTCAACGTCTGTATCATGTTCCACCTTGATCTGTACCTTCTTCATTCTTGTCTTGGCTTCTGGAACATCTTCATGACAATGTGGACTCATGTTCTGTGGTTCAACAACTTCCTCACTAGGCATTTCATATGTCGTTCTCTGGCCTGTGATGGAAGATAAATTTATACTCAGTGTTCATGTATTGTAACTTTTTCATTCTTTACACACAAAAAAATATCAGGCACATTTTTAAATCCAAAAAACTACTGTTCATCATTTATCAGGGAGGTCTGACAGTAGATTTTGACCTTTAAATGGCAGCCATTATTGGGGAGGTAGGAAATCCTTCGCCACCAGTTAAGATAGTGGCCATCACCTCCTGGTCATCTTACTCATATACATTCACTCTGTCAAGCTTTATACATACCTGGAGCACACTGACCCTCCCACAACTCATAAAAACGTATACAGTAAATGTCAATAACATTTTACTCACTCACAATAGGAAAACATAATCTACAGGTATTTGGAAGATATAATGAGTTAACCCTTAACCAATGGGCTGCTCAAAAAATTGTCTGGTTGTCCCATACGAGGAAAAGTGAGATATCGTATTTAAAAACGAGTGAAAATGAATCTTTTTAATTACAGAATACTTGTACCGCATTTGGCAACACTAAATACAATGATGTAATAAAAAACTTTCTACGCCAAACGAAAGAAAAGTTATGGCACCAGAAATATTCATGAGCTTTTTGCCACTGTGACCCACCGGGTTAGCTGGGGGGACCCGGGCGGGGGGGGGGAGGTTAAATGGACTGGGTAATGAACACGAAGAGCTTCCATAAACTGGAGGCGAGTTTCAAATTCCCTTGAGGCTCGACTCTGTTGACCGGGGCGTAAGTGAATGGGTAAGGGTGTATGATATCTCCTCAGAAGTTGTTACCACATTCTTGTTGAATACAGTATCTGAAGAGATGAGCTTTCGCCTGTCTTCACCATGTACATGTTATGAACATTCAGCAGGCATATATCAAGCAAGTGGAAATCATTTTTTATACCATTTCACTGATTTCCTGTGGCAATCTACTTCAGGTATTTGCATGTCACATTTGTCTGAATCTCATTGGTTTTCCAGTGAATCTTCTGTTTCCTCCATATTTTCAGTGTGGATGGTAGAGAGAAGATGAACTTTTTTGACATGACACTGAATTACCAGTGTCATCTGCATGGAATTTCTTGTTGTCACCTCTTTTTGTCTTTTCATGAAACATGGGCATGAATTTTCTGTTTTTCCCTCGCTGTTCTCACTGTGCTAGTGCCATGGTCAATCAAATATTTGGCCAGTGCTAGACGTGTATATCAATCATCTGTGTATAATAAACGTCCTTTACCGTGGTAGTTATGCATGAGATGTTTGACCACAGCACCTCAAAAACCATGAGGATCTTTTTGGGGGAATGTCTATATCACTTGTTGAATAAATGCACAGATTTAAAAGAATGCCACTTTCACAGTCACACAGCAACAAACCGTATAATTCCAAAACGGTGATGCTTGAATTTTACCTTGCCTTTGATTAGCATCAGAGACTCATCTATAACCAACTTCCGAAAAGGGTTAAAGCATTTCTTAAGCTTATTAGTACGGTTCCCAAGCATTGGCCTGATTTTCCATACCAGATCATCACTGCTTGGTTGTTCATTATATGCAAAATAAAGAAGCCTCTGCAAAAGATGATATCTGTTCCTGGTCATATACTGTATTTGGCATGAATAGCATGTTGTACCTTTTCCAATATTCATAGCACAATTGTTTTTGTCTTTTTTGCATGAGGCATCAGCAGTGTAAGGGCAGAAAAGATTAAAAGTTAATTCTTTTTGGTATTATACCACTGCGACTCAGGCGAAATTACCTCTTCAGTAGCATCGCACTGTACAAAGTATCTGTTTGTCTATGTGACAATGAGATTAAGTAATCCCTCATCAAAATATGCAAGGAAATAGTCACACTTTTCAGGCACTTCCGATAATTTGTAATTATCAGTAATTCCAATCTGTGTGCGATCCAAATTGGGCATACAGTATGTAGTCCAAAATCATCCCCACTATGCCAGTGAAAATCACTTGGGTCAGCTGCAGAGGCACCACCGCCAGTTGCACTTCCCTGCACGTGCCTTTTTTTAAGAAACAACACGATCTAATGAATATTCAATAAAGAATTCATCACCACTCTCGCCATCACTACTGCTGCTACCCTCAGAACCTATTGTACCACTGTCATTGTCTTGCCATATTGGCTGACGGGGCTGGAGGTTCCACCCAGTGCATCACCGGAGCTGCCAGATACTTCCTCGATGGGAAGAGAAATTCAATTATCATGCTCATGTGGGGTGACTGAGTAATGCTGGGCATATGGATGAGTTGCCAGAACTCACTACAATTTCTGTGAATGAAAACTTGGCAGGAAAATTAAACTTTTGGTGCGAAACAAATCCTGCTTTTATAGACAATCACCGTCTCTCAGACATGTAAGGTGCGTGCTTTTATAGACGATCGCTGTCGTTTAAGGGTTAACAGAAAGTAAATACAAGAACTATAACAACTTATGATTAAAATAAAACTTGAGTTAAACTAGAGTTCTAGAAGGTTCAGTATTATAGAACCCTGAAAAACTCCATTTCAAGCCACTAAAAACAACAATGTATAAAGTAAAGATACTAATTTCATTAAATATGCATAACAAGATGAAAACTCAGTCTTCAAAACCAAACCAATAGAAGACCTTGAGCTGTGTGTTCAGTTTGGTGGGGAGTGAAGTATTCCTCCTCCAGGTCATCCATATCCTGGTCATCCTGGAAGTAGGTCTTTCCTGCCTTCCTGGTGGTGGTGGTGGAGGTCCCCTGCTGCTGCCAGCTGCCCTCAGGAACATGTAAGTCATCTGGCCAAGTTTTGGACAATCCCACCTCACTCAGACCTGAGGAAACACAAATGTATATTCCCTTTATGTGTTTGCCCTTAGGACAATTTTTCTTTTACCTGTATTGTATATATGTGTGTGTGTGTATTTGTGTGTGTGTACACACACACACAAATAAATAATACAGGTAATAGGAAAATCCGCTCACAAATAATCAGAAACAAGACGATAAAAGGCATTAAAAATGCGATTCTACCCTCAAGTCAACTCGTTGCTTTGTTATAACTTTAATAACAAAGCACGGAGTTGACTTCAGGGTAGACTAACATTTTTAATACATTTTGTTGTCTTACTTCTGAATATTTGTGAGAAGATTTTCCTCTTATTATTTATTAATATGTCTTCTGTGTGTGTGTCTACACATACACATATAATCCAAGTAAATGAAATTACTGTCTCTAGAATGAACGGTTCCCTGTCCTGGCCGCAAAAATGCCAGCAACTAAAAAATCTACCCCTAGACATTCTTGGGCAGATCCAGGGTGTCATCCACGAATAATCGAGGTCCGCGAATTTTAAGGGCAGGCTGTACTCACATATACCTAAGACACTGCTTTCAGTCAATGCGGATTATCAGAACAATACTGTAATATTAAATTTAAAATTTAACATTAATTATTTTCACAAGACAAGAATTAGACCTCGAAGGTTTTGGAACATACTGTGTCCATTATATCAAAGATACGTAGTTTCAAGAATAAAAACGATCTTTTGCTATTTATTTAAGCAAATAAAACGTACAGTACATATTATACATCAATAATAGTAAGAAAATATTAGTGGTTACACCTCAAAACAGGAATATGGAAATTAAAACTTATTATTTTTGTTGAACTTAAAAAACCTAGATTCTGGAAACATTACATCGCACCGAGCACTGATGAACTTCTGGTAGGTACCTGGGTAGCCATTCACACCACACGCTGCCACTGATTCATTGTTTATTTCTATTTGTTTACAATGGTAACTGTACGCTTACTGTAGTCTGTATCAATATCATATGCACATTATATTTAACAATTCTAATTCATAAGTTATTACGAATTCAGTTCACAAAACAATAACACAAATAAAATCATAATGATGGTGTATGGCATCATCTTCGTTTGGGTGGATCATCGTGAGACGGTTGACACATCCAGTTCGTGTGTAGTTTAAACAAACATAATCTGGTTTAATCTCATAAAAATAAACAAATTCACACTGTAATGTTGCTGAAGCTTTCGTGGTTATCAGCACGAATGTTTAAATCTTACTGACTCGATATTTTGTTACTAGCAGTTAGAGTATTACAGACATAAAATGGATGGTGAATATTTACAGAGTCATGTAAAGAACCGAATGTAGATGATTGTACAGTGTTGAAAATCATGAGCTCAGTACAGTATTGTAAGAAAAGGAAACGAAGTACCGGTATGTACAAGGGGTCCTCGCTCAATGTTGGGGTTACGTTCCTAAAAACGAGACGTTAAACGAAACGACGTTAAGCGGATCAATTTGCTCCATTAAGAAATAGATAAAATACGGGAGTTACGTTCCTGAGCCTCCCTTTGCCCCATGAAATACATTACATATACAGAAAATCACTGCCATTTCTAAAGAAAATAGTGCATACATATTCAATTACTAAGTTTGTATTGGTACTCACAGATGGGCGGAGGTGGTAGAGCGAGTGTGTGGTGGGTAGTGAAGCAGAGGAGGCGTATGGCGGGAGGGGAGGAGTATGGCGGGAGGGGAGGAGTATGGCGGGAGGGGAGGAGTATGGCGGGAGGGGGAGGAGGGGTATGATAATAGAGAGAAGATGATTAACAAAAGTCTTGTTCTAGGAATAATAATAAACAACTATGATGCCTGGCGAGGCTTTCATTATGGATGACAACCAATTCTAAACATAAACACTTAAGTTGGTGACATTTATATATTTCAACATAAACTTCCATTAGGTACCTTTTATTTTCAGTTGGGATGCTGCTTTCAACAGTCCCGGGAGATCCCTGGACTTGACAAGTATCTGACCCTTGTACATGTAGTTGATAAGCCCCTGAAGTTCTTGTAAGGTAACGTCACGAAGAACGATGATTGGGTTCGGGTGTGTCATTGTTTTAAAAAGCTCTTCGAAGCTCTCACTGTGGGGATTAAAAGAGTGAATATATATTGTACAAAACAATCAGCAAATGCTTGAGGTAAAAAAAAAGGGCAAGAACAGTATAGTAATTATAAAACAGGAAATCTTAAAAAGGGAAAGACTGAAGAATGAAATATCATTATCTTACTGATGGGATGAGACATCTGGCCTGTAAAAAAACTCCACCAGAACAACTCTCATCCAAAGGGTAACTCAGACACACATCTCGTTCAGATTTATTCCAGTTTAAAAAAAAAAAAAAAAAATCTACATTAATAAAAGGACATGTCTCTGAGTCTGTCTCTTCCAGCCATAGTTAAAAAAATGAAGTAGTTGGGCCTGAAACTTTACACAAGGTTGTGCATATTGATATTACTATTGACTACAGACCCCGGGTGGTCCGAGCATAAACTAAAAATCTGCCCCAGACTGAGATGTTGTCACGGAGATTGTTAGGGAGGACAAACTGTGATAGTTATGGTTATACAGTTAAGTTAGGTAGGGTACCAGTGTCAGGGAGGGTATCCTGACAGCCAAGGTTATGTAGTAGGACAGGTATATCTTACTTGAGTGATGCTGGACAATTTTGCTATTAAGTTTAATAAATTACTACAGTAGTGTAATCATACTTGGCAAAATATATCAATGAAATAATTAATATATACATAAGTTTTCAGAAGCACCTATAAAAATTAATTCTTAAATATCTAAAGGAAAGACTGTAATTTCTGCACTTCCATTTGATGACATATTAAATAATGTACTGTATTGTACTACAAGAAAACTCAATATGTACAGTGTGATCAGTCCACATTGGTTGTCTCCGAGGTAAATGTGTAAAAAGTACAGGTGTGCTTGATTGATTGAATTAGACATGAATACAGGCGAGTCTGACTGGATAAACTACATCCTGTATATGAGCATTAGTGTACAGTACAGTATTTGACTGGATATACTGTATTACAGTACACATATGAATCCAGAGACAAACAGAAAGATGATACAATACATACAATCTATTTAACAGACTATACGGAGAAGAAAGTGAACCCCCTCCATCTAACAGATTATATGGAGAGAGGAGTCCGTTATATGGAGGTTTCACTGTACATACAAGGAGCCCGAGATACAGCAATAAGTGTATAGCTCTGTACTGCACCTGCAAGTAGCGAGGACCAGCCGGTGAGCTTGTATGAAGTGACCCTCGGCCATGAGAGTGCAGTCAGTCAGGTGGTTGTGTTGCAGGAGGCGCTCACACACCGACAGGAAGCGCGTCTCTGTATTGCTGGACCGCAGATGTAAGTGGTTCATCTTCCTTGGACTGCAACACAAAATAATGTCTCTTTTTCATGCTACAGACTATATAGTATTGAGATTTTAAGCAAAATGATTGTTTTGGCCCAAAAATAATTCAAGAGGTAATATCTTGTAGCTTTTTAGGGGTGCAGATGAGATTCTGATAATTAACCCCAAACATAAGGGGTTAAAACAGCTAAAGCTACGAGCTAAACCAGATGATAATGATAATGCTGATGTCAGGCTTCTGATAAGAGCTTTTCATTAGATTTGAAAACAAGAAAGCTAGAAATTTACATAAAATAATATGTATATTACACACTAGATACTGTACTATGCTCATCACAAGGGAAGGTAACTGGGAAAAATGGTTGTTCTATTTAATGTACCTGTCACCCTCTAAAGCGGACAGTTTTATGTGTGGGTGCTTGCCGTGAAGGTGTCGACGCATTGAGGAGGTGTTCCCGTGCTGAGTGGCCAACTCGTCGTGACACAGTCGGCAACTCACTCGGTCCCGTCCTTTCTCTTGGAAATGTTGCCACACCAATGACCGTTTCCGTTTCACTGAGGACAATGATAGTGTTACTACAGCAAGCAATAACTTATGTGTACTGGTGTCATTAAACAGTGTAATTAAAATATCATAAAAATACAAACCCGGAAAATGCACAAATTAACACATCTAATACAGTACTTCAATACAAAATACAGTGATGCAAAAAAAAAAAAAAACATTCTCACAAGGTTTTCAATCCTCTGGTGACAACAAGATACAGTACCTGTGTACTGTACTTATGACCATCACCTCCTAACCTTTCATTACTCTCTTTTAGACACACAGGAAAAAAAATGAGATAACTAATTCGCTGCTACTATAGAGTGCGGTCTAAGACATATTTACACTACGGACTGGGGTCTATAATTTGTCCAATACTTTATAATGTGAATTGTTAATTTATTTTCTTAGTGATTAGTATTTTCAGATTATTTTATATTTAGGTTAGGTTACATTTGCTTGTTACATTAGATTTGGTTATGTTAGGTTAGGTTAGAAGAGGTGAGGTGAGGTTAGGTTAGAACAGGTTAGGTTAGGGTACCGGTAGACTAAAAATATGTCTGTGGACCACATGCTAGAGTAGGATCACTAAGAAGATCCTGTACCGATTATTACCTATTATCCTGAAAGTTTTTTTGTTTCTTTTAAGTGGATGTATCGATTTTCCTCTATAATTTCACCTAAACAACACTTTTTGGGGGGCAATCCCATCTAAAAAAAAATAAAAAATATTTGTACCACTGATAAATAAATAATTTTTGTACAACCGATAAATAATTATTCTTGTACCAGTGATAAAAAAATAATAATTCTTGCACAGGTTGATAGATGAATCATTCTTGTACCACTGACAACCATACTAATTACCTGATCCAAGATAGGGCTGCGGATCTTTCCCCAGGGGTTGTTCCTCGGCCTGCCACGATTCCTCTTCAGTGACTGTGGGCGCCTCCGTGTCAAAGAGACCGTCCATCATCTCTGGGTGTTTCCTCCTCAGGTGACGCAGCATCATGGAGGTGTTGCCGTGCTTCGTAAGTTGCATGCGGCACATCCGGCACGATACCTTCCGATCTCCCTCTTCCTGGAAGTGCCGCCACACTCCTGAACGCTTCTTCCTCATGATTCCTGAATATAAACAGTTTTCAATCGACTGTATAATAAAGAGGGGATTTGGTATATGGTTGGTTTACCATTGTCATAAGGAATATCAGAGATTCTTCCTCCCCCCTCCTCCCTCAAGGCTTATTTCACCATATGATTAAACACCTTTCTAATACATGTACTGTACCTTGTGAAATAAGCCGAGAGCTAATATTCAGGTTAGGTAAATACTCAGGAGTGACCAAGCATAGAACTCTATTGATTTGTATATAGTGAAATAGAGCAAAAAATAAATAAAAATACTGTACATTACTGGATAGTATTTTTGTTAGAAATTTAATTTTTTTTTTAGTTTTTGATATTACATAAAAACAATGCAATTATGATCACACATAGTGGATAGGGCTTTTAAGTAGAGGGAAATTGTTTAGTAAAAAGAAGCAAAAAACACTGAAGAAACCAAACCTAAGTATTACAGAATCTTTAAAGAGTGTAATACATTATTTAAAAATAGTTGTCCGGGTTAAGGAGCTGTGTGAGGAAAGTTTTTAAAAGAAGTAAATATCTTCAGTTTATCAAGAATATCCAAAATATGATGGAGGAAATAAATTCTTGCAAAACAAAAAACATAGCCTTACTCATTATATTAGTATATGTCTAACCCAAACTAACCTGAGAGATAAGAATGTCTGACCTAACCCCCTGTTGTATAAACCTAACCTAACCCAACAAGACAAAATATAAAAACAAAGGAACACAAAGAACCAAACCTGAATTTAAAGTAAGAAAAATTAATATAAAATAAAAATCATCGATGAAAATGCTATAGAGTTAAAGGGTATAACATAGCAGATTATATTAACCAAGGAATCTGATAAAAAAAATATTATCTAACCTAATGTAATGTAAGAAAATTATCAAAGAAAAAATAGTTATATCAATTATTTCCGGAATTCTGTGGTTGCTGTTTATTGCAATATTACCGAGTTAAGTATTATTATTATCTTCTGTTAGTGTTAAATTAATATCACACCATACAAATTTCTACGACGATCATGAGGCGACTGGTTATTGAACAAAAATAATCATACAACTATACATAACGAACTATGACAACCACTGAACAACGATTAAATGACTAAATATCCATCAATCCACTCAATCTATCCACACGGGACACGGGTACCCGAGTCCGGTCCGTCACTTGAACTATGACCTTACACCAGCCTCGACTGGCTCTTGCTTCATTACTAAAGACCTTATACGGTGTTATATAACGACGCATAACACCATCACCATTATTAATACACTCAATACTCACAGACAATGGAGATAAAAGTTCAGCCGAGGAGACAGAGAGTGACAATGACGCCGACCACAACAACTGACTCTCTACTAAAAACCTTCCAACTCTCAACTCAACCCGATAAGAATTTCAAAAAGATTAATATTACTTTATGTATCGCTACAATTAATTGGAATGTATATATATATATATATATATATATATATATATATACATATATATATATATATACAGTATACAGTAGATGGTGTGATGGATATAGTGTAGGAATGCCATACATCCGTATTTTCCCGGACATGTCCCCCATTTAGGTCTCGAAATCTTCATCCGGAAGTAATTTTTAAAATTCTTCAAAAGTCCGGAATTTCAGCTTCCATCATTTTCTCCACGGAAAAAAACATGAAACTGTAATGACGAGAGAGAGAGACAGAGAGAGGGGAGGTGGAAACAGTAGAGATCTCGTTCAGTTTTCGTCAGCTGATAAGTCACGTGGACGCCTGTACGGTGTTGTCAACTTAGCTGTCAAATATTTGGTTGATAAGGGGGTAGAAGTTGATGATGTGAAGTGTTTTGACCAAGTTAGTAACCTGAAGCAGTTTGTGGAAAATTACAAGAGTGATGAAGAATTTAGTAATCTGCCAACACATAAAAAGTGGACCAGATACTTTGAAAAATCAAAGAACATTGAATGCCACTCAGAATTGCTAAGAATTGCACAATTCTTCTTTGCTATATCATCTCACAATGCAAATATGGAAAGAGTTTTTTCACTGATGCAAAGTCAATGGACAAGGAAAGGAACAAATTGAGTGTTGAAACAATGAAAGGCATTCTGACTGTACAGTACAACTTCCGAGAAACACCTTGCAGTGACTTCTATACCTTTCTAAACGAGCAATCAGCCAATACTGAGAAAGATCCGATCTACAGAAAAGTATGCATGGGCACACAAGTCACACACACAGTGGGGGAAGAAGACTGCAGCCAAGGGAATGAAGATATTCAGCCTTAAGCAAAGGTAATTTTTTTTTAAGATTTCTATACCACGTGTGTTGTATATTAGCCTACATTAAAAATACAATGCAATACAGTACACTTATACTGGTATATATATATATATATATATATATATATATATATATATATATATATATATATATATATATATATATATATATATATCATGTAGATCCACAATGAAAACGTGCATAAGATAAATCTTGATAAAATCTCACGGGAAAAGGGAAACAACGGAGCACCGTTGTTTCCTTTTCCCTTTATCAATATATATATATATATATATATATATATATATATATATATATATATAGTGAAAACAAGCAGTAGTTGTCTTACTGTACTGTACATCTACTACACAATCGACACTATATCCATCACACCATCTACAGTACAACGGCCACTACAGTATCATTTACACTACTGTACATCCACTACAGTATCATCTACACTACTGTACATCCACTACAGTATATTTATCTTTCAAACTATAGCTGTGTCTGTAAGTTATATTCACTTTCTAAGCTAACTAATTAATGCTCTGGGTTTTTTCAGAGATAATATTGTCTTAGATAAATTTAGTTTCTGTATATAGTTAATTTCACATAATTTATAAATGAGATTATTCATGTATTTCTTAATAAAGACGAACATTGTAAAAGCCACACGAGGACTGAAAAACTTGAGTGACAAGATGAGTAAAACAAGAACTAGAACCAATATGTTTCTGGTGTTGTTTTTAGTGTTGCTGTAATCTTCGCTGGTGACGCCTGGCTTTGTACTCTAAAGGGAAATTAAGCACATGTTTATCGATGCAGATTAATCTTGGGGGGGCAGACACTGCCTCATGACCACGAAGGGCCAGGAATATGTAGGCAACGCCAGATCAAACCTCGTAAAAAAAGGTATATATTTTGAGGAAGAAGTATGTCTAAGTTGGAGGGACACAAATCTTAATCCTCAAGACTTCCCGGGTCACTCTTTGGGAGCGAATATAAATTATTGTCGGAACCCCGGAGGGATGAAAGACTCCCCGTTTTGTTATTCCAAACATGACAAACTTTTCGGTTATTGTAAACTACCACTGTGTCCAGTACTGTAATAATTCCGGGCAAACACTGCAAGTAGAGAATTTCCTGAACTGGACATAAAGAACGAGACAAACTGCACAGACTTCTGTACGTACCGACATTCGCTTTTAGGTCCAGCGTGTTCCCTGTCGGTCGGGGGAGACGAGGTGTTCTATCCGTGCGATATTCCATTAATCGCGGGAGAGTAACCTAATTTTAATGTAAGGTTTTCATCAGCCGCTATGAAACCATTTAGTCCAATTACCTGGTACGTGACGCCAGGAGAGTACCATAAACTACCTTATGGGGATGAGGGTAAAGTCTTCCTGCGACTCATAAGTTTGTATGAGTGGAGAGATAAGGAAGAAATCTCCCTCAAGTTACGCATAAGACTGGCCGACCCGATGGACTTAAACAGTTTTCATTTCTAAATGTTATTAACTCCCGATGATTCTTTTGTTGACGTCGTAAAATTCAGCATAAAAAAGAGTGGATTGGAACTGGGACACGAGGAGCGTGAGGCTTCTGGCTCCTATGAATACTTTATTTTTAAAAGACAGAGAGCCAAGCCTCGCACACCGTGGGGCAGCATGCAGTACAGGTGGGCATAATTTGTAATCCAGATGAACAAAAGTTAAGCTTCGGTTATCGTTGAGAATGATTATGAACAGCCCTTGGTTAGTTACACCGCCATGTCTAGCGCTGGGGAAAAGCTCAAGATTCCCAAGTACGTGTACCTGACTTCGTTTTCCGGGACATTCTTGGTGACTCTTGATGAACTAAACAGAGAGAGTATCACGTGTGCTGAGGGAGAGATCAAAATGCCGAGGCACAATATGTAATGGCAGCATCAATGGGGGACCATACCGAAGGTTAAACCACCTCCAGTACATATCCCGCCCTCTACTGGAATGAAAAACTTTACATTTGATTTATTTTTTAAAAGAAGACTGCAGCTCTCTGTTCAAAACGCACCGTTTTCTCTGCTCATTAGCAGTTAAGTTATTCTAAGAAGTGATTTAAAAAAAATAGATGAATTGAAAATTAACGCCTTGTAGGTTCTGGTAGGAAATCGGGATATAATACTTATTCATTGCAAGCGAGTCCTTGCTTACAACATTAGGAAAGGACAACTAATCTGCAACGACAGTAAGCCGTACAATGAGACCATCAGAACCAACCCGCTCGCTAAGGGTCAGTCAATAATGGTTGATATCAACGCCACAGAATCTCCGCCCACAAATACTTAGGGGAAGATAGTCATTCGCCACGGTCCTTTTCGCGTATATAGGTTCAAATTGCATCATCCATTTTTCCCGAGGTATTGGTTTTTAGCCAAAAGTAAAAATAAATTAATATTTAAGGAAACAGATGAAGCAGACATAGGCCCATTATATTTCCGCGTCTTGGGCGAAAGATGTCCCGCTCTGCATTCCAACTTTCACAGTGAAAGTTGCCCGAGACACAAATCAAAGTATACGGGATCCGTGACGTGGAGCAAGTCCGGGAAAACCTGTATGCCTTGGGCGGCTTTTTCGCCGCACATTAAGCGTTTGGTTAGGTATCTACCACGCAAAGATGCTGATTTTAACGAAAACAAATGCAGATAAACGATAGATGAGAAATACAAATTTCATCGTCGTCCCTTTTGCTATGTCGGCCTTTAATATAAGATGGAAGAGTGTGAGGTGCTCACCTGTAACGATATAACCAAGTTGTAGCAGTCTGCTCCGGTACCCGAACTAAGAGGAAAGTTCAATATCAGCGACGAAGAAGACATGTCATTATTAATTGATGCCACATCCCCGTCAGTATTAAAAGAAGTGAGTTATAAGGTTTTAGCCAATTTAGAAGGTAACCGTAAATTTAGGTTCAAGTTACGGAGTTGGAACTACGGTGTTAGCAAAACCAGCTTCTGCATGTACCTTTACAGTGACAAAAAACTAGAAATGAAAATAAAAATTACCAGTTCATTGTTGACTTTTGGAGGAAGAAAATACAAAGGCAACTACTTCGTCTCGTGGCGCTACACAGACTTTACCATGGTCACCGTCGGCATCACCTGGGCCCTCTTCTACGAGCACCGAACATGGCCCATCTTCACACACAGGACAGCTTCTAGTTTAATGGCTATATAATTTGGTGGTTGTCAAGAAGACAGTAGCAGTTCACGGGAATTTTCACAGTCAAATGCCGTGATGTTATCAGTACAGTCACAAGAACGGGTGCCACAGATGCAATAATATTTTACAATAGGAGGTCTGCAGGTTTCAGGTACCCAAACAAGATTAGAGAACGTAAAAGCTATTTTTTATCTGAAATCGGGTAAATTTAACATTTGGATAAAAGGAAATAAGAACGAATCACAAGGTGGAATTCTAATACCATTTTATAATTCGATTGATAAGCTTCATCCCACCTTCCTGGTCGAGATATCCTCAATGTTGTTCGGTCTGTCAAACCAAAGTCATAAATTTACTTATATTAGCGGAAGAACGCACTTTCTGGACAGCTTCATCTAACTTGGAGTCGATGTCAAAAATACCCGAGACTCAACGACAGTTACAGCAATATTATATCCTCCCTATTCTTAAGGGGGGCTGATGAAGCCAAGGGTAATGAAACGACAAATAAAAAATACGAAAATTAGCTTTGTAGGCCTAATCCCCTATTACACCCAGCTTTCAGGTATCATCAGCGAAGCCACACCCCCAATGGACCTTGACGCACCGCCCAGAAATGGAGGCTGGTCGAAATGGTAACTGCAGTTTTGTTCTAAAGCCTGTGGTTTTGGCCACGGCACATTTGTAAGGACATGCAGTAACCCCTCACCATCCACGCTTGGTGCTGACTGCTCTGGCTTCCCTAAGAAACATGCGAAATGTAACACTCGGCCTTGCGGAATGCTCACAATAGCGACGGAGAAAGTCATTCAGAATGATCTACTTTATGAGGATAATAATATACGATTAAATATAGCGGATAGCGGCAAGTTTCCGTGTAGGAAAGG